GTGTGTGTGGGTGTGTGTGTGTGTGTGTGTGTGGGGGGGGGGGTTATCTTGATGGACTTTTTCTGATGAAATCAGTTGTACAGACTGAGCAAACAGCTCAAATCTCTACGTCTGGCTCAAAGCCTGTTTGGTTGCAAAACTAAACAAAAAAATGTTGACAGATGTCAATCCTTTAAGTAAAGTTAAAGTTTAAGGGTTGCAAAGATGCAATTACTGTATGTAAAAATGAACAAGTTAATGCTATTTTTAAATTTGTTTTTTATGAGATATCACATGAAATTTCTACTCCTGCTGATCCGATGATAATTTACAAAGAGAAACATCTGATAATGTTTATTTGAAGGGGACGGGACTTGGGATTGGACTGGAACCAGCCTGCCTCAACTTCCTGGTTCCTTTAGTCTAGTATTGTATTATGTGCACAGTATGAAGGGCTACAGGATTTGCTTAAATTATCCCTGAGCTGAGCATAAATTCAAAGCAAAAAAACTTTTGATCATTTGGCTGTGTATACAGTGGAAATATTAGCTATCCTGATGGTGTTACAGTGGGCAGAGCCAACAGAGTATAATCATCACTAAAGTCTCAGTTGGTAGAGCTGATGCCTCTCAGCAAAAAGGTCGCCAGTTCAAATCCCGGCCCGGGGACCTTTCTGGGTAGAGTTTGCATGTTCTCTCTGTGCATGCGTGGGTTCTCTCCGGGTACTCCGGCTTCCTCCCATAACTCTAAATTGGCCCTATGTGTGAGTGAGAGAGTGAATGGTTGTTTGTCTCGTTTGTCTCTATGTGTGTATTTGTGATGGACTTGTGACCTGCAGGGTGTACCTCGCCCCTCGCACTGTGACTGCTGGATATGGGCACCAGTGACCCACATGACCCTGCAAGGAAGAAGCGTGTACAGAAAATGGATATTTGTATAATAATTAGATTTAGATTTATACAGTCACGAGTATTAATTAGGTTTATGGGTACCAGCTCATAAACATATAGAGGGGAAAGATATGGTGCATTCCCTAGCAAAACAGTCTCTAAAACAAGATATAATTATGGAAATTGCATTTAGTATTTCTAAAATAAAATCAGAGAATCTGGAAGGAAGGGGCTGAGGATTGAGTCTTGTATGTCTCCCTCTGGTGTTTCCCCTGTGTTTTACACTTTCATCTCAGCCCTCAGTTTTCAGTCTCTTCCTAGTTAATCTACTCACCTGTCAGCAGTTTTGTAATCAGTCCTCCTCAGCTGTTGTTCATTTCTCCTCCYTCCATCTGTGTATAAATTATGGTTCATCTCCTTCATTCACTGCTGGTTCATTGTATGGATCTCTCCATCGTCTTGGTCTTCTGTCTCCTGTGTCTTCCCAAATCGCCTAAGTTTATGTAAGTCTTTTGCTGCCACATCAGCCTTTGTTTTTGTTTAGTGAATAGTTTTATTTTTGAGCTTCTTCGTGTCTGCCTGCTCCTGGGTTCATTCACCCCAAAGACCCTGACACCAACAAGTTTGTTCTTTATATCAATGGCCCAATCCAGTTCTATACACTGTATCAATGGTCCAGTCCAGTTCTATAAACTGTATCAACGGTCCAGTCCAGTTCTATAAACTGTATCAATGGTCCAGTCCAGTTCTATAAACTGTATCAATGGTCCAGTCCAGTTCTATAAACTGTATCAATGGTCCAATCCAGTTCTATATACTATATCAATGGTCTAAACCAGTTCTAAATATCAATGGTCTAAACCAGTTCTAAATATCAATGGTCTAAACCAGTTCTATGTATCAATGGTCCAACCCAGTTCTACATATCAATGGTCCAACCCAGTTCTAGTGGTCCAATCCAGTTCTATATATCAATGGTCTAACCCAGTTCTACATGGCAATGGTCCAGTTCAGTTCTATATACTGTATCAATGGTCCAATCCAGTTCTATATACTATATCAATGGTCTAAACCAGTTCTAAATATCAATGGTCTAAACCAGTTCTATGTATCAATGGTCCAACCCAGTTCTATATATCGATGGTCCAACCCAGTTCTAGTGGTCCAAGCCAGTTCTATATATCAATGGTCCAACCCAGTTCTATATATCGGTGGTCCAACTCAGTTCTATAAATCAAATGGGCGGCGGTGGCTCAGTTGGTAGAGCTGATGCCTCTCAGCAAGAAGGTCACCGGTTCAAATCCCGGTCCGGGGAC